GCCTTCCAGGTTTTTCTGTGTTGTAGCATTTGACAGGATTTCTTCCTTTTCAAAGGCTGAGTAATATTTAATTATGTATGTATATATCAGATTATTTTCATCTAGTCATTTGTTGATGGACTTGTAGTTTGTTTCCACCTCTTGGTTATTGTGAATAAATGGGCAGTGGACATGGGATTGCAAGTGTCGCTTTGAGATCCTATTTCTGATGTTTTTGGATAAACACCTGAAGAGGGGTTGCTGGGTCACATGGCGGGTCCATTTTTAACTCGTTGAGGAATCCTCAGATTATGTTTTCCATAGTTACCGGCCCATTTTGTATTCCTGCTAACAATGTACAAGGGTTCCACTTTCTCGACATCGTCCTCAACATTTGCTTTTTCTGTTTTCTAATTTTATTTCTTCTTATTATTATTTTAGCTTTAGTTTTTTTTCTATAGGATGCATATGCTCACTAGAGAGAGAAATAGAAAGAGAGAGAGAGAGCACCCCCCAGTGAGAGTGGCTACACTGCAATCTCTTCTCTATTCTTTTTTGGGGATTTTGGGCATACGCACAATTGTACACTCACTTGGCGTGCTTTCCAAGTTACTGGGTCTGGTACTCGAACTGTGCAGTCGGCCACACGGGATCCAGCCACCTTAACCACCACACCACTGGCTGGCCCCACCTGTTTTTCTATTTTTGTTTTTTATGGTGACCATCCTAGCAGGTGTGAATTGAGATACCATTGTGGTTTTGATTCTCATCTTTTGCAATGATTTGTGAAACTGAGTATCTTTTTATTTTCCTGTTAGCCATTTGCGTGCCTTTGTAGGGACAGAAAGTTGTAACGCCTTTCCTCATCCATCATAAGAGTCATGGAAGACACCTATGTAACAAATGCCAGGTTAAGAAAAGTTTAACAGATTTATTCAATCATAGTTTTATTGAAGACTTCAGAATGAATGACCCAAACACACTGGCTGAACTATCCATTTTTATGCTTAGATTTGATAAAGCATGGTTGGCCATGTAGAAATATGATTAGGTGAAAGAAGTAGGAACTAACACTGATGGGGAACCCGGCAAGGCCTGTTTGTAAAGACTTTTCTTGACCACTTTGTGCAGTGTTTTTTCTTCCTGGTGTGGGACAGGACCCTTTTTGGAATAACGGTCTTTATTTATGACTACAATTGAACAAGGTAGGTCTGAGAATTTCTTTACGGCTAACTCCTACATAAAAAGGTGGTGGAAGTTAGTGATATTTTAAGGTTTCACGGCTGACTTTGGAACAAAGGAGTTCTGTTTGCTTTCACTTGTTTGGGGAAGGAAGGATTCCAGTTTCTGTGGCTTGCCTTGAGGGAGAATGAGGACTGAGAGATGAGAGGGCAGGAGAAGGTCAGAGAGAAACTGCATCTGAGGTTGCTTTTGAGGTCTTCACTTTGCGGTATCATGGAGTTCTTTTTTTTTAACTGTATTTATTTATTTATTTATTTATTTATTTAAATTTGACCAGAGAGGAACAGAGAGAGAGAGACAGAAAGTGAGAAATCAAGCTGCCAGGTCTGGGACTTGAACCATGGTCAGCCATGTGGGAGTCCAGCGCTCTTAACCACCACGCCACCTGCCAGCCCCTGCGGTATCATTATCTGAGCCCCAACACTTTTGGAGATAGATCTTTTCAAGTCTTTTGCCATTTTAAAGAATGAGTTACATTTTTTGTGTGTGCTATTGAGTTGTTGGAGGGCTTTATATATTTGAGATATTAAACCATTATCAAATGTAGATTTGCAGGGAACCAGCAGTTAGCGTAATGGCTATGTCGCTGGACTCCCACGTAGTCGACCGCGGTTCGCATCCTGGACCCAATGGCTTAGAACTCACACCGGGCGTGTGTGCGTGCCCAAGATCCCAAGAGGAGAATGGAGGAGAAGGGATTGCGGCATGAGCATCCCCTCGGGGGGTGATTTCTCACTTTTTGTCTCTCTGTCTGGCGAGCGCACGCGCCCTATAGCAAAAACCTGGGGGAGCGCCCCGCCCCGATAGAAAAAACCTCCCAAAAAAAAAAAAAAAAAACAGTAGGTTTGCAGAAATCTTTTTTTCCCCCCATAAATTGTCTCTTTCTGTATTGATTATTTCCTTTGCTGTGCAGAAACTTTGTTTCATGTCGTCTCATTTGTCTATTTTTGCTTTTGTTGCCTGTGCTTTTGGTGTCATGTCCACAAAATCATTGCAAAGACCAAAGTTAAGAAGCTTTCTCCTGGGGCCAGCAGGTGGCATGGTGGTTAAGGTGCTGGATCTCACATAGCTGATTTAGTTTGAGTCCAAGATCTCAAGGCTAGAAAATCACACTGAGTGCATGCGTGTACATGACCAAAATCCAGAGAGGAGAATAGAGAGAAATGGAGGACAAGCATTCTGGCATGGCCATCCCCCAGGGGAGGTAGGGGTAATTTCTCACTTTCCCTCTCTCTGTCAGTCTCTGGAGAGCTAACATGCCCTATAACAAGGAGAGAGAGAGAAGGAGAGAGAGAGAAAGAGGCAGCTTTTCTCACATGTTTTCTTAACAGTTTTATAGTTTTAGGACTTTGTTTAAGTCTTTAATCCATGTTGAGCTGATTTTTGTGTATGATGTAAGATAAGGACTTAATTTTATTTATTTATTTTTTGCATGTGGATATCTAGTTTTCCTAATACCATTTGTTGAAGGGATAATTTTTTCTTGATTGTATAGTCTTGGCACCCTTGTCAAAGATCATTTGACCATATATATATAGGTTTATTTCTTTTTTTTTTTCTTCTTTTTTTGGAGAGGTTTTTTTTTTCACTATAGGGCGCGTGCGTTCGCCAGACAGACAGAGAGAGAGACAGAGACAGAAAGCAAGAAATCACCCCCCAGGGGGGATGGTCACGCTGCAATCCCTTCTCCTCCATTCTCCTCTCGGGATTTTGGGCATGCATGCACACGCGCCCAGCGTGAGTTTTAAGCCACCAGGTCCGGGATGCTAACCACAGTTGACTACGTGAGAGTCCAGCGACATAGCCATTATGCTAACTGCTGGTTCCCTATATAGGTTTATTTGTGGGCATTGTGTTCTGTTTCATTGGTCAATGTGTCTGTCTTTAGTACCATACTATTTCGATTACTGAAGTTTTGTAATATGTTTTAAAGTCAGGAAATATGAGGCCACCAGCTTGTTCTTTCTCACAGTTATTTTTATCTATTCTGGATTTTTGGGGTTCTATATTTATTTTGGGATTTTTTTTCCCTATTTCTACAAAAAGCGCCATTAGGGTTTTGATAGGAATTGTACTGAATTTGTAGATCACATTAAATAGTATGGATTCCTCCCCCCACCCCAGGGCATGTGTGGTTGCTGGAGAGAGACAGAGAAAGAGACAGTGAGAGGGAAAGTTAAAGTTACTCTGTAACTTCTTCTCCATTCTCCTCCTGGGATTTTGAGGATGCGTGCACACATGCCTGGAGTGACTTTCAAGCCACCAGTTCCAGGATTTGAACTGTGGTCCGCCACAAAGGAATCCAGCACCTTAACTACTATATACCACTTGTTGGCCTGGTGGTGTGGACACTTTAACAAGAGTAAGGTTTACAATCTATGAGCAGTGATATCCTTACATTTATTTGAGCATTCTTTCTTTCAACAATGTCTTGCTGAAAGAAAGGATTTTCTTTCTTTCTTTTTTTTTTTTTTTTTTTTTTTTTTTTATATAACCCCCCCCTTTTTGAATTTAAAGCCACTGGGTCAGGGACTCAAACTGTGGTCGGCCATGTGAGAAACCAACACCTTAACCACCATCCCATCTGCTGGTTCCCCCTTACAGTTTTTAACATGCATGTCATTCACCTCCTTGGTTAAATCTATTTTCATTTTTTAAAAAGAATTATTTTATTTAACTTTATTTATTTTATTTATTTATTTTAATTTGACTAGAGAGGGACAGGGGTGGGGGAAGTGAGAAAGCAAGCTGCCAGGTCCAGGACTTGAACTGTGGTCAGCCACGTGGGAGTCCAGTGCTCTTAAACACCACACCACCTGCTGGCCCCAAATTTATTTCCATTTTAAAAAAAAAATTCTTTTCGATGGTTTGTAAATCAGATTTTTTTTTAAAAAAAAATAGGGAGAATAGTGTATTGTTAGTGTATAGAAATACAACTGATTTAAAATTTTTTTAATGTATTCATTTATTTATCCAATGAAAATAGATAGAGTGACAGGCATCTCTGACAGGGTCTCACACCATGATCCACCCCCAAGTCCCAGCTGACTTGGATCACAGATACACACATGGGTACCCTGCATATTCAGGGAGGTCCCAGGAAACAAACCCAGGCCCATGTTCATGTAAGTTCAGCTACATCACTGCTGTGCCACTCCCAGCTCCTACAACTGATTTTTTTTATATTGATTTGCTATTCTGCAACTTTGCTGAATTCATTTAGTTTAATTTTTTTAATGTGAAATTTTTAGGGCTTTTTACACGTAAGATCATTTCATATGTGACATTTTTTCTTCTTTATTTGATGCCTTCTATTTCGTGTTCTTGCCTAATTGTTCTAGCTAGGACTTTGAGTATGAGGTTGAATAGAAATACTGAGTGCATGCATCCTTGCCTTGCTCCTGATCTTAGAGGAAGAGATTTCAGTTTGTCACTGTTGGGTATGATGTTAGCTGTGGGTCTTTCAGATACGGTCTTTATTATGTTAAGGTGAATTCCTTCTATTCCTAATTTGTCAAACGTTTTTTCTTTTCTTTTCTTTTTTTTTTTTGGTTATTTTCTTTTTGTTTATGAAGTATAAATTCAGTTTATTTATAAGTTGCTTATAAGTTGTAATTATGACATCATTTATATTATCAAAGTTTCCAAATTCAAAAATTTCCCCAAATTTTCTAATTCAGAGCAGATAATTTTGAAAATCTAGGAAAATATAAGGAAGCAAAAATTGCTCACCATCCCATTCCTTCACTTTTCCTTCACTTTAAATCTTTTTCTCTTAGGTAATTTGGCCCAGACAAGAGCCAGGATAACTGCATCTTCAAGATCTTTACCGCCACATTTCAGTGCTGGGAGGGCCAAGGTAAGCAGCAGATTTGAGCCAAAACTGACATGAGCTTGGGTGGTACTCCTCGCCTGTGGAGAACCCTAGGGAAGGCAGCATTAATTCTATTCATTTAGCAGACCTAAGGCACTTAGGAAATCCGAGACCTCAGGCCAGCCTGTGGCATGGCGGTTAAGGCGGCTGGATCCTACATGGCCTACTGCATGGTTCAAGTCCGGGACCCTGCGGCGCATGTGCTCGCATGCCCAAAATGCCCAAAATGTCCAAAAGAAAAAATGGAGGAGAAAGGATTATGAAGTGACCCTCCCACATGGGGGTGCTTTCTCCCTCTCCCTCTCTCTCTCCAGCAAGCACATGTGCCTTCCAGTAAAGTTTAAACATAGTAATAGTGATAAAAATAAAAATCAGAGGTCAAGAAATTGAAAACAGTATGTGGCTGGCAAGTGTCATGGTGTTTAAAGGCACCGGACTCCCACATGGCCGACCACAGTTCAAGTCTCAGACCTGGCGGCTTGCTTTCTCACTTCCTCTCTCTCCTCTGTCTCTCTCTGATCAAACTGGAAAATAATGATGATAATAATAATAAATCAAGTTAAATAAAATAATTCTTTTAAAAAAATAAATTTAAAACAGTATCATGGAATTTTTATAACCCTGATACTCAGAAAGACCACGTAGGCTATAGTATAATGACTATATCCAATCAAGCCCATCTAGGAAGAGACGAAGCAGTTTCCCTTGAGGCTGTTTGCCAATCTATTATACGAAAGAGGATAGCAGAGACCAAGAAGAATCAGCAGAGAGGAACAACTGAACTGTTTCTCATTGCTCTGCTTTGCTGTCTGAAAAATGAGTGGTATGCTTGTCTCTGAAAAGGGGATATTGATTTAGAGGGCTTGATAAATATCCAGCCATTAAATATGTTTTTAACTGTTTAGCCCTCCCAGCTAATGTTTAGCTAGGGTCTCAAAGACTGCTTGGTTAATGCTCATTATATATACCAACGCCAAAAAACATGATCTTGAAGGTAATGGAGTAATAAATAGGTCACGCTGCTGAATTTTTTCTCCTTTTTGTTTACAATGAGTACTAACTCAATAAATGAAGAGTAAGCACTTTGGTCCACCTGGGTGGTGCAGGTGGCAGAGTGCCACTATGTAATACTGGAGCCACATGGAGGGCCCCAGGTTCAGATTCTGGGTGACAGAAACATTCTGGGGATGCCTGTAGGGGCACTTAGGTTCTGCTTGGCTGGAAGGCTCAGGAGTGTTGAGGGGCGGGGAAGTCAGGGAGTCGTGGCATGGTGAGACTCTGTCAAGAGGACCTCCCCTTCTCCCGCTCTCTCTCTTTCAGCATATTAGTTCTCTTCATCCTACCTATTGCCTGGATAGTCTAGTAAAGAGATTTAAAGGCATTTAGGAAATCAAAGATAAAAAGAAATTATTTCTCTCTTGAAATAAATGGATAGATAATAAGATAAAAATTTTTTTTTTTTTTTAGATTTTTTTGCTGTAGGGTGTGTGAAGCCACTGGGTCAGGGACTCAAACTGTGGTCGGCCATGTGAGAAACCAACACCTTAACCACCATCCCATCTGCTGGTTCCCCCTTACAGTTTTTAACATGCATGTCATTCACCTCCTTGGTTAAATCTATTTTCATTTTTTAAAAAGAATTATTTTATTTAACTTTATTTATTTTATTTATTTATTTTAATTTGACTAGAGAGGGACAGGGGTGGGGGAAGTGAGAAAGCAAGCTGCCAGGTCCAGGACTTGAACTGTGGTCAGCCACGTGGGAGTCCAGTGCTCTTAAACACCACACCACCTGCTGGCCCCAAATTTATTTCCATTTTAAAAAAAAAATTCTTTTCGATGGTTTGTAAATCAGATTTTTTTTTAAAAAAAAATAGGGAGAATAGTGTATTGTTAGTGTATAGAAATACAACTGATTTAAAATTTTTTTAATGTATTCATTTATTTATCCAATGAAAATAGATAGAGTGACAGGCATCTCTGACAGGGTCTCACACCATGATCCACCCCCAAGTCCCAGCTGACTTGGATCACAGATACACACATGGGTACCCTGCATATTCAGGGAGGTCCCAGGAAACAAACCCAGGCCCATGTTCATGTAAGTTCAGCTACATCACTGCTGTGCCACTCCCAGCTCCTACAACTGATTTTTTTTATATTGATTTGCTATTCTGCAACTTTGCTGAATTCATTTAGTTTAATTTTTTTAATGTGAAATTTTTAGGGCTTTTTACACGTAAGATCATTTCATATGTGACATTTTTTCTTCTTTATTTGATGCCTTCTATTTCGTGTTCTTGCCTAATTGTTCTAGCTAGGACTTTGAGTATGAGGTTGAATAGAAATACTGAGTGCATGCATCCTTGCCTTGCTCCTGATCTTAGAGGAAGAGATTTCAGTTTGTCACTGTTGGGTATGATGTTAGCTGTGGGTCTTTCAGATACGGTCTTTATTATGTTAAGGTGAATTCCTTCTATTCCTAATTTGTCAAACGTTTTTTCTTTTCTTTTCTTTTTTTTTTTTGGTTATTTTCTTTTTGTTTATGAAGTATAAATTCAGTTTATTTATAAGTTGCTTATAAGTTGTAATTATGACATCATTTATATTATCAAAGTTTCCAAATTCAAAAATTTCCCCAAATTTTCTAATTCAGAGCAGATAATTTTGAAAATCTAGGAAAATATAAGGAAGCAAAAATTGCTCACCATCCCATTCCTTCACTTTTCCTTCACTTTAAATCTTTTTCTCTTAGGTAATTTGGCCCAGACAAGAGCCAGGATAACTGCATCTTCAAGATCTTTACCGCCACATTTCAGTGCTGGGAGGGCCAAGGTAAGCAGCAGATTTGAGCCAAAACTGACATGAGCTTGGGTGGTACTCCTCGCCTGTGGAGAACCCTAGGGAAGGCAGCATTAATTCTATTCATTTAGCAGACCTAAGGCACTTAGGAAATCTGAGACCTCAGGCCAGCCTGTGGCATGGCGGTTAAGGCGGCTGGATCCTACATGGCCTACTGCATGGTTCAAGTCCGGGACCCTGCGGCGCATGTGCTCGCATGCCCAAAATGCCCAAAATGTCCAAAAGAAAAAATGGAGGAGAAAGGATTATGAAGTGACCCTCCCACATGGGGGTGCTTTCTCCCTCTCCCTCTCTCTCTCCAGCAAGCACATGTGCCTTCCAGTAAAGTTTAAACATAGTAATAGTGATAAAAATAAAAATCAGAGGTCAAGAAATTGAAAACAGTATGTGGCTGGCAAGTGTCATGGTGTTTAAAGGCACCGGACTCCCACATGGCCGACCACAGTTCAAGTCTCAGACCTGGCGGCTTGCTTTCTCCCTTTCTCTCTCTCCTCTGTCTCTCTCTGATCAAACTGGAAAATAATGATGATAATAATAATAAATCAAGTTAAATAAAATAATTCTTTTAAAAAAATAAATTTAAAACAGTATCATGGAATTTTTATAACCCTGATACTCAGAAAGACCACGTAGGCTATAGTATAATGACTATATCCAATCAAGCCCATCTAGGAAGAGACGAAGCAGTTTCCCTTGAGGCTGTTTGCCAATCTATTATACGAAAGAGGATAGCAGAGACCAAGAAGAATCAGCAGAGAGGAACAACTGAACTGTTTCTCATTGCTCTGCTTTGCTGTCTGAAAAATGAGTGGTATGCTTGTCTCTGAAAAGGGGATATTGATTTAGAGGGCTTGATAAATATCCAGCCATTAAATATGTTTTTAACTGTTTAGCCCTCCCAGCTAATGTTTAGCTAGGGTCTCAAAGACTGCTTGGTTAATGCTCATTATATATACCAACGCCAAAAAACATGATCTTGAAGGTAATGGAGTAATAAATAGGTCACGCTGCTGAATTTTTTCTCCTTTTTGTTTACAATGAGTACTAACTCAATAAATGAAGAGTAAGCACTTTGGTCCACCTGGGTGGTGCAGGTGGCAGAGTGCCACTATGTAATACTGGAGCCACATGGAGGGCCCCAGGTTCAGATTCTGGGTGACAGAAACATTCTGGGGATGCCTGTAGGGGCACTTAGGTTCTGCTTGGCTGGAAGGCTCAGGAGTGTTGAGGGGCGGGGAAGTCAGGGAGTCGTGGCATGGTGAGACTCTGTCAAGAGGACCTCCCCTTCTCCCGCTCTCTCTCTTTCAGCATATTAGTTCTCTTCATCCTACCTATTGCCTGGATAGTCTAGTAAAGAGATTTAAAGGCATTTAGGAAATCAAAGATAAAAAGAAATTATTTCTCTCTTGAAATAAATGGATAGATAATAAGATAAAAATTTTTTTTTTTTTTTAGATTTTTTTGCTGTAGGGTGTGTGTGCTGGGAGGGAGGGCTGGGAATGGAACCTGGGAATTGAGCCTGCCAAGTAGCATGAGCCACTGTTTGCTGCTGCATCTGGGGCTTCTGGTCTACTAAACATGGGTTATGTGGGCTTTTAGGAGAGATTAATGTAGGAGTTTTGGTGATTCTGAGATCCTCTTGCTGTTACACATACAATTTTGCTAAAATCAAGTGCCGTTGATTCTCATTATTCGTGAGAAGTTACATGGGTAAATTTGCTGTAACAACACTGAATCAGCACATACTGAGCTGTTGTTCCTAGGGGAACAGGGTTGGGTTCCTGTGAGTCTGCTCATGACATTTTTGTCGCCCAATCATTCTACAACTTCATTCTATGAGCATTTTTGTTTAGTATTTTTACAATTTTATTAATTATTATTATTGTTGTTTAATTTGCTACGGGGCACATGCATTCTCCAGAGAGAGACAGAGAGAGAGAGAAAGAGAGGGAAAGTGAGAAAGCGAGCCTCCATGTCCAGGACTCGAATCGCAGATGACCATGTGGGAGTACAGCACCTTCACCACCATGCCATCTGCTGACCCCTACAGTTTCTCTTTAAAAACACAGATTTCTTACAAATCATGCCTTACAGGTAGTATTTCTTTAGATAAACAATATATT